CGCAGAAAGCGAAAGATGAAAACTGCTCTGAGGCTGAGGCCGAAATATCTGGAAGTAACGTGTATTTATTGTAGTAATTTAGTCAATAGTTTGTCATTTAGCTAACAACATTAAATGGGACATAAGTGCAAACTTAACATGAATTATTATATGCTCATGAATCATTTCCTTTGGGATTTGAACCTGCAACCTTTCAGGTCTTTAACTGCTAGGCTACAGCACCGGTTGTGAGCGAATCAGTGGCTGGTTTCTGTTTTTGTGGGAAAGACCCCTGGATACTGTAATGAGCTGGTGTGAGTCAGACATGATGAATCACTCTATTAGGTTCAGTCCGGCGGTGATTCGCTCTCTGCCCTAGATAAACCAACCCCTGTTTTGCACGGTTTAGAAAACACCATCCACCTTTAAATGGGATATTTCTACTTTGCAGTATTACTCCCTTTGATTACATCCAGTTTCCTCTTAGTATATACATTGCCCATACACTATCCTTTTTATCCACCTTATTTAGCAACCAAACGTAAGCTGTTTTCCGTGAATGTGCAAGACTTCCGGTTCATTCAGTTCATTCATAGAAGAATCAATGCGTAACACTATTTGCACTACAAACCAGATTGTTTATAATTAGGACAATACATTAAAATATAATGGATAAGAAATGCCTATGTGCAATATCAACAGCATAACGAGATGTTTTGTACGGCTAAAAATAACTGAAAGCGAATGACACCGGAAGTCTCGCTCATTCACGTTACAAGTGAACGCCTCCGTTATCATCACGTTAAAAATAAGGTGGACACTGCGCTGCTTGTGGAATAAATAGGTTGAGTTTACATAAAGATTATCCTCTCTTTGTCAGGTGTGTATTTTAGTCAAATATTTATTAAAATATTCCATCACTGAGCGTAGCTTGATGTTAATTCAGTGAACGCTTTGATTCAGCAAGCTAATTGAGTGATTGATTCATCAGACTGATTCAAACTGTAGCTCGAGCGAACTGAGTTTGTGAACCTCTTTTTTTTTAATGACTCTTTAAAAGTAGTCGCTCAAAATAGTCATTTGTTCGTGAATGTAATGGTTGCATGTATTTGAATCACTAAAAGAATCCGTTCATTTGAATCATTTATTTGAATCAACAGCTCAATGGTGTTTTTCTTGCCACAATTTCCTTTTAATTTTGCCGTATCACAATCAATTTGACCTTCAGATTTAGGTAAAATTAGTTATTTTGCAGTGGGGTTGTAGATTCATCCGCAAAGATAACGTAAAGAGCGGCTTAGACATTTACATTTGACAAGCTTTGAATGAATGAATGAATGAATAAATAAAGACTTGGTAGAGGTTTCTAGACACATAGGTCAGTAGAACAGCACGTCTCATTCTTTATACAGACATCTCCAATTGTTTTTTCACGTCTCAGATTAATTTGTGTAGGCTTTATCATAATTTGGTATGATTAGTTTGGGCAATTATGAGCAGTATTTCCTGTATCTGAACTCTAATTAGGCCCACACATATTTTGCATACGTGTCATTGTTTGGAAAATACAAATCATTACTAGCTAAATAAGAATGAATGATTATTATTTAAATTTTTATTTTGTTTTCCTTGATTTTAGGCTTATGCTGCCAGTTTTCTGGCAAACAGTAATTTCATAATATTGAAAAATATGAAGAAAAAAAAAACTATTGAGTCCTATAGGTGATTTCAAAAATGTTTAAACCATAATAAAAGATTAACAATCATATATCATGAATGAATCATTAATAATTGGAAGTTATTCATCACGAATGTTAGGGCTGCACGATTATGACAAAAATCATAATTGTCGATTATTCCCTTGAAATTGTGATTGCAATTTATTAATTACGATTATCACAATTTACACTGAATGATGTTTATACCATTGTTTATTGCAACTGCATGCCGTATTTTTATATGAAAATAAACAAGCTGAAACACTAACTGAAAAACTTTTAGTGCTTTTCTAAAGTATTAAGCCTTAAATGTCAACTATACATCGGATTGGTTTCTTCTTTAAATTATAAAAAAGTAAAAATATGAATGGTATTATAATATACTAAAATTAAAATAATGGGAAAAACCCTTAAGATAACATGTAGAATGAAAAAAACGTCTCAGGTTACTTATGTAACCATGGTTCCCTGAGTAGGGAACAAGACACTGCGTCCTCTAGGTGTCGCTATGGGGATGCCTCGTCATGACCCGTGTCAGAAGCATACATTGAAAAAACACCAACTCGTTGGCCGGCGACAGCCACGACGTCACTAACAGTGCGACTATAGTATAAATAGGCGCCGGGAGCACACATCATTCACTTCTTCGTCTGAAGCTTGCGTCCGCAG